TTTACTTCTTGCCTGTGATGTAGATGTTTCTGGAGCATGAGTGATTTCCCAGTGGTGCCGGAGCTCCACATAGATAATCCGGGCAACGGGCCGATTCATTTATGAGGATATTTTGAATAGCAAAATTTGCCTGGATAATCTTGTAGATCCGATGGTAGCGATATTATTGCGATACTCTCACTTACTTGGCACAGCTTTGTCAGGCTCAACGATCCTAAGCTGCATACTTCCACTTAGTGCCTACGGCCTGTTCGATGTATGTGTGCACCTCTTCGAGCACTGGTGATCCCCGGAGGGGTTGGTAAACCTTCCGTCTGTTCCCTTCTCTCCTAAAAGAGCCCCATTTTCTTCTCCGCTCGCAGGTTGCTGTCGTTAGGACCGATGAGTGAAGAAGGTGACGGTGGGACCGGGAAAGAGGGAATGGGGAAGTGCAGCTTCCGGCTAGTGACAAGCTATGGGGGAGAGGGGGGGGGGAGAGGGAGGGAGGAAAATCGCCCAAATCCCCCCTGCCTCCTAGGAAACCGCCCTGGACCCGTCTGTTTCTTTGGGTACCGCTCCGTTTGTGTAGATGAGTATTTCTGCCGAGGGTTGTCCTAACGGTGTTTGACTCAGTGAGAAGATAGCCTTGAATTATAGTTGGAGCTTGTATTTTTATTTTTTCCAGTATATATGTTTGCACGCAAATACATTGAAAGACGGTGAAAACCTGCTGGAGGTATGCAACCTAGGATCGAATGACTCGGAATAGCTGCGCGCAGTGCATGGAGACATCCCGATAATATCACTAGTATGGGGGTACCCAGATTATTTGCGCTGGAAGTCTAGATATTCTTGATATAATTGTATGTTTTTCATTCAAAATGAACACTTAGTGCAGGGCCTTATTTGCTGTAGGTTTTCGTCTTTTTCCAGATCTGTTCGTCCCCGATCCCCCTCTCTGTCTTCCTTCGTTTCACCGCTCCAACAATAGTCAGGATGGTTGGGGGCGTGGAGTGGTGGTTGAAGGGGAGGGGGAAGAGGAGCGGGTTACGCGGGGTTGAGAGGTGATGGTAGGTAGTTGCCTAGATGCAGCTCACGGGGGCACAGATTGGGGGCGCGACGCAGGGCTGTTCTTTCCCTAACTCAAAATGGCTTATTTTTTTGTGTTTAATAAACTCCTAACACAAAGCAACTTATGTTTTTTTCTTTCAGCTTGAGGCGTACAAAGCAAATTTAATCAAAGAGGCGGAGAAAATTGTGCTGGAAGAATTCCCGAAAAAAGTGCTTGAATTCAATAGTCTTCTAGAGGTTTCTTTTAATTTACTGCTACGTTTCTTTTGCAGCCGTGTTTGGCACGAACAATTGTGGAGGCTTGCTGGGATTTTTTAGGGGTTCTCTTTCGTGGAAGAAGTGTTCAGGTTTTTCTTTAAATGATGATTGGAAGGCGAGTCTAGCTGCTAAAGTGAGGAGATGATTGCCCAGAATTTCAGAAGTGTCTTTGTTTTCGTGCTCATGAAATCCTGGGCAACACCTGTTCTCGCTGGTGGCTAATACAAGCCTTTTAAAATAGAAACCCTTAAATTAATTGGAAATAAAGTCGAAAAATGACGGTTTTGGAGTCTTCTAGTTCTGAGTATAAATTATTTAAGGGTGTTAGAAGATGAGAAGTATGAGAAAAGAATTGTATGTGCGGTGTGATAACGGAAAAGTTTATCTGCTTGACTGTAATGCGGCAAGGGAAACGCAAAATTTCATTTGTAGATTAGTAAGGGCAGTGGAGTAGAAGACTTGAAAACTTTGGACTCAAATATTAGAAATTTTCTAATATTTTGCTTTTAACAAAGGAGTATTTTTGCGAAATGTATAGATCGTTATAAGTGGGAAAACACTTCAGAGCAGGACCGTTATTGGAAGAATTTTTTAAGAATAACAGCGCAAAGGAAACTTCAGCTGCTGTTTTCCATTTCGGAAATTTGTTTTTTGTTTAGGTGAAGGAAATGGGCGCCGTCGTTTTTATGTGTTTTTTGCAGCTGTGCAATGCAGAAAACGCATA